GTTTTATTTCGGAGTTTCCTTCTCCTAGCCTTTGAGAATAATTCCCTCGTGCAAGGCAGCACATATAATTTCTGCCGTCCCTCAGGGATCAGTCGCAGACCAGAGAGCCGCTCATTGTGAGTCCGTCGCGTCTGGATTTTCATTTGGATTTTAGTGGACTCTTACCACAAGCATACCTTACTGCGGATATTTCGTAGCCCAATCCGCCGTCCATTGTATGATGAACATAAAAGAGAACCAAACAACATTGGAAAAAGAAAAGATATCTTGAAGCTAGAGATAAAAATGTAACTTTAGCGATTATAAAAGCGGGAAACGACTCTAGAAAACTATGGAAAATATTGAATGCTGCAATAAGTAATAAGAATGATGAAGTACTCGTATCTGAACATCGACCATTTGTAATGAAAGAAAATATGGAAGGAAAAAATACGGCACAAACCATGAACAAGTTTTTCAATGGGAAAAAATTGTAGAAGGAATCAAAAAATCCCCAGCGGAAACTACATAATACCAAAGCAATATTCCTTGCACCGGTTATAGGGACAGAAAGTCAAGATATTGTCATAAACCTTAGTAAAAATGCAGCACTAGGATTGGATAAAATAACAATTAAAGATCTACAGGCAAATTTCCGGAGGAATTGAAAAAGGGATGCTTGGTTCCAATTTATAAAGCTGGCGTAAAAGATTAATGAGGAAATAATAGGCCAATCTTAATTTAAAACTCAATATCAAAAATGTATGAAAAAGCATTTAGCGTATGAATTAGAAATTTCATAAAGGAAACAATAGGTTTCGATAAGAATCAATATGGTTTTGTTGGAAAATAGTGGTATATAATCGACGATCGCAGCTACGTTAGAACAAAAATATAATGCATTAGAAGAGGGCACTATGTCGGAGCCGTATTCGTTAAGAGGGAATAAGAGGCATTTTAAATGCTCTACTACAAAACTATTTGACAAATAGCGCCCAATGTTTTAAGATTAGGTTCTAAGATACGTGTACCACAAGGCTTTATATTAGTTTCACTTTTTTACTTGTTATATATTATGAGCATTAAACATAAAACAAGTTTATAGCAAACTAAAACATTTGTGTGGATGACACAAATTCGATTGCAAAAGCCAAATCATTAGGAGAATTAAAATATATATTAAATAAAGATCTAAAAACATTATGCTGCTGGCCAGATTGTAATGAATTGTGTGTCAATGCAAGAAAACCAATTGTATAATATTCAAAATTCCTAAAGAAAGGTTTAATGATATCACAATTAAGGTTAAAGGTAATTCAATTCAAAATGTAGATAATGTTAAGTACTTAGGAATGATAATTGAGAAAAATCTGAGATGAGACTTCCACATAAAAAAATTGAAGCAAACGATCATCCTTATAAGCATGGCTATAAAAATATCTGACGGCATACCAACACATGCAGCTAAACTTGTTTACAATGGCTATATTCTATCAAAAATCAGATATATCATATGTAGCTGGAGTTACTGCTCTAAATTTCATATAAAGCAAATAGTTGTACAATAATGAATAAAGGACTAAAAGCACTTTTTGAAATTAGTCCTAGAACTAGTAAATCAGCTAATATATTTTGAAAAATGTAAATATATGTATAATGCTTTGAATAATAATTTTAAGTCAAAATAAATTCTGACAAATAGAGAAAATATTCATAATTATTATACCAGAAATAGAAGAAACTTAGATATATCTGGAGCCAGGACAATGAAAAAAGAAAATAATTTAAAATGTAGTGCAAAGAAACTATTTTACAGTCTTCCTACAAACATTAAAAATACTGAAAAATTGGATATTTTTAAAAGTAAACTTAAAACATTTTAGTAAAAGTAAAAAATTTTAAAAGTTAGAATTGATATTTAAATAGTATTTAGAAAAATGAAGTGTTAGTTTTAAATTATTTATAGTGCTAAAAAAATAGTAAATGTTAATTATAATTAATTTCCTATACATAATTTTATATTTTTGTAAAGTTATGTGAAATTAATAGTTTTTATTGAAAAAGAAAAGTATTACGGAGCCTTCAATCCGGCTCAAAGGACCCAAAAATGTTTGTGAATAATTGCTCACACTTTTAAAAACTTGTAGAACTTATCATTCAGTTATTATAAAACAAGTGAATGATAAATTTTTTTCTTTAATCGTATCACAGTTTATTATATAAAAAACGAGAAAAAATAGAGTTGACCTTGTCAACTCTGTGATACCCTGACGAATTCGTTATCCTATGAGCGAATAAATATGCCATAACTGATTATGAGACAGACTATGACTTTAAGTTGCCGTATTACCATATTAATTTATGAAAAATTTCAGTACTGTTTTTTTTTCAAAACACTGTGTGTACCAAACTGCTATTGAAGTTGTATGGCAGCTACTAAAAAGAGCCAAGCAATTTTAAGGAATTTTATCAAACACATCGGCTCTACTAATATATTCATTTGTGTGGAATTTCAATACCATAGCTTTTAAAGTTTCTGAGATATAGCCAAATAGCTCTTGAAGTTGTATGGCTGGTACCAGAAGAAGCCAAGTAATTTCAACGAATTTTATCAAACACATTGGCCCTACTGATGTATTCATTTGTGGGAAATTTCAATGTCATAACTTTTATAGTTTCTGAGATATAGCCTAATAAACTTTGAAGTTGTATGGCAGCTACCCGAACCTGTACTCCGATTATGTCCAATTTAAATAGGGTTTCGGCACTTACTACAATAAATCATTTGTGGAAATTTGGTGAACTTAGCTCAATTAGTTTTTGAGTTATCGCTGGGACGGACGGAAGGACGGACGGACAGACAACGCTAAATCAACTCAGAATTCGACGCTGATCAACAACATAGACTTGAGTCTATATCTCAGACCATTATTTCTTAGCGTTACAAACGGTAAGGCAAATTTAGTATACCCTTCCCTTAGTAAATAATGTATTTTTAGAAAAATTTAGAAATTACATATATTTTCTTCCCGTCATATATTTTCGCACAGATTTATATAGCAACAAGTAAAAACCGATTTATATAGCAACAAGTCGGTATAAACCGATTAAATTATACCCTGCACCTATCGTTGTTGTATAGCAATTACTCAAACCTGTGAAGCCATTCTATAGAAACTTCACGGATATGTCTGACCTATAACTGGACAAACAACTGCCAAGTTTCATGAATCTGACTTTATTATTTTTTCAAATATTTAAAATTAGCTTCTGATATAAAATAATTCACATATGTATGCAATAATTTTTATGAATTATCAAACATATGAATTTAATTAATATAGTATACACATGAAAAATATATATGTATGTATGTAGATATGTATGTGATTATATCAGAAGTATGCATTTTGGGAGACATATTATATAAGAGTAGCAAGCTCGTTAGTATAAAATGTAAATTTTCTCAAAGTTGAAAAATACACCAAAATCAACTTAACACTGAAAAAAAAATTTCACAATTTTTTTTCTTGTAGTTTACCATATATTGAAATCTTAAAAAAATAAACAGAATCTTAAGGTTTTTTTTAATGTTTTAATAACACAAAACTTTAAAAATGTAAGCACTAGTAAAGTAGAAAAAGATTGAAAAAAGTTGATCTTATGGGAGATTTATGATGTTAAAAAGCGCGCTCTATAGATCCGATAAGAATACGTGTAAATTCGTCAAATGTGAACTGTGACTCTCTCTTAGGGTTCAAGCCTGTATTTCTGTCAGCCGTGGGAAAACGCATAGCGTGACGTAGTGGCGGAAAATTTTCGTCTGGTTTTTTTTTTAAATGAGAATTTTCTTTCTTTTTGCAGGATTTTGCAAAATTAAATTGTTTGTTTCATTTTTTATGGTCTCTATTAAAATTTTGGAGGAAATTACAATAAAAATTAAATACATGCAATCGTATTTTGAAGTACACACAATTGTATCGACTTTGCATCGTTATTTTCATATTTGATATACATAACAATTTTACTAAAAAGCTTTACTTTAGAAAAGAATGAATGATTCATCTCGCATAATTTATTATTTCTTCAACCTTTTTAAAGGTTTAAAACGATTTTAAAGCAATCCTTTTTTGTATAACTCTTTAGGTTCCTTTGTAGGTAACTTGAGTTACTGATTGAGTTTTTTTTTTAATTGTGTTTGAAATAATGAAGTCTTATCTTTTTCTCTAATGGTTATATTACAAGTCATTGATTTTTGATACATTAGATTATTCAATGAATAACATTGTTATTACATTTGAGATAACCAGTTCTGCATTTTGTATTTATAGATTCTAGTGAAAAAACATGTAGAAAAGGCTAGTTGGCCGGGTCCTAATGCAGTCGAAATACATATTCAATAAGTTAAAATTTTATTTGTAATTGGAAAATGAAATATTTCAGTTAATTTCAAATACAAATTCATAATTGACTCTCATCTTTACATAATTCTATACTGTAATTAAGAAAATAATCCAAAAATAATTTTCATTTTTAAATGAGCTTCAAAACTTGAGATACAAAAAAAATATCTGTTGCTTTCTGCGTTTTCTTTAATCATTTCGAAAGTAATAGGTTTTTGGCAATTAAGTATCAGGAACTCTAATGGGTTGTACATGCTACATATATTTAAACATAATCTTTTTCTAAAAAATTGTTCTCCGTAAAAATTAGTTATTTTTTTCATAAATATTTTTAAAATGAAAATATCTCACACACGTATAAAAAAGAAATATGAATGATATTAAATATCATGTTTTCAAATATATTTGTTACTGACTTATTTTTGAAGGAGTAACATGAAGAAATTTCGCAAGAGAACTGTTTAACCTGTCGAACGGGTCGTAATTTTAATTAACGATTTGAACACGTGAAAAATGTCGTTCGACAGCAAGGAATTTATAAAACCGACTCTATTGAGTAAAAATTGTTCGCATATCCACGCAATTGCAAAATTACAAATCTCTAAACGAGAACTTATTGCTAATTAACTTTATTCAGAAAATAATTTAAATTCATAGTTTAATTTTTACTATAAAATTCCTATTTAAGAATTTCAAGAAAATTTACAATCAAGTACATACTACTAAGAATTATATGTAGAAATAGGATTTTCTGTTTTATTAAGCCTTTTCCTAAATATTTAATATTCGTCCAATTTAAGTTCCATATACATTATATATTATTTAATGGGCTAAAACTTAAACATTCACAGAACGTTTGAAAATAGAATTAGCCCTTTTTTGCTCCCATTCTAAACGATGTTCTTTTTTACGATGATGATGCAAATTTGCATTTGATGTAAAAGTTTTTGGACAATGAGGGCACGTATATAATATTTCACCCGTATGCGTTGTCATGTGTTCCTAAAATGATTAATTTCTAAAAAAGAAATAACATAATAAGTAAAGAAATATTAACCTTGAGTGATATAGCTTTCTTAAATGCTTTTTTGCAAATCGTACATTCGTACGTCCGATTGCTATGAACATAAAATTTGTGTGATTTTAAAGCTGATCTTGTTGGACATTTTTTCTTGCACATTGGACATATATGCTCCATACTAGATTCGTCATGCAAATTCCTTAAATGTTTTCTTAAGGACATTTCGTTTTTAAGCCAAATATCTAAAACAAAAAAAAATTAATTTGAATGAAATAATTCATTTTCAAATTCCGAACCACAAATCTTGCACTGAGCTCTAGGCTCTACAATTCCTTCATGTTCTAGTTGATGTCGTTTAAAGAGAGCATTGTCCTTTATAGTTTTACCACATATATGGCAAACATTACTAGAAAGAGTTTCATGTACTTTTGCATAATGAGAATTAAGTTGGATTTCAGAAGCAAAACTAGAATTATTTAAAAAAAATATGTAAAAGCACAACAATAAAATTTAAAGATCTACGTATTACCATTTGTCGCAATTAGGACATTTGAACTTTCGTTCATTTTCTGGTATATGAGTGTATTTATGCAATTCAAGAGCAAACTTGGAAGCTAATAACTTTTCGCAAGTTTCGCATTTAAAATTCTTTGGTTTTTCGTGAATAACTTTTATGTGTTGACGTAAGGCATTATGATTTTTTTGTACCCTGTTACATATATTACACTTAAATTCCTCTGGATTTAGATGACAATCTATGTGATCAGACAAATATATTCTCTTATTATACTTTTTATCACAACACACTACGTATCCTGTTATATTATGTTCAATTCGGAAATGACTTTTAATTTCAGAAAATTTTGGAAATTCCAACATGCAAATATCACAGAACAATTTCATGAAGTCCGATATTTTTTTATCTATTTCATCAAAGCGGGGTTTGGGACTCTGTTTTTCATTTGACTTATTATCGCTACTTTTATTACCTGAAGCCTTGTTTGCAGCAGTTTTTGTTACAGTATTTTTGGATTTCGTTGGGACAAAAACTTCAAACTTGGGTTCAATGCTTAATGCGTCTATATTCTTATTTTCAGAACATACTGATTCTAAAATATTGCGAATTTTTTAAAAATAATCATCATAGTTCTTTTTTTATACTTACCATCATAGTCAGAAGCTTCATTTTCCGGATTTATTAAAACGTTAAAAGACTCATTTGAGTTCGCCTCAAAATTTTCCGTCTTAATATCCAATTCCGCTGTGTATGCGTTCTCTTTTTTGTTCATAAGCAAAATACTTTGTGCTTCGGCCACTCGGCTATAAAATTTATCAAAATTTGATAAATCTTCCCAACAACAATTGCATATAGTTTGTGGTAAAAAATCCTCAATTTTCGGCTAAAAGCAAATTTGCTGTGAGTTGTATATATGTATATAATAAAAATCGTACTTCAAACCAAAGATATTTTCCAATAATTTTAGCTATATTTGAATTTTCATTGAATATATATTTTCCATCTTTATTAGGGATCTCTGATATGCAAAGCCTGCAAACATTCATCTTATTCGACAGACTTGAACTCAAATATTGAAACACAAATGAAATAGTGGTTTCGAATTTTTTAATTTATATATTCTTATAAACAAATCTAAACAAATTTTATTATGTACTTATAAACTTAAATAAAATTAATTGTTGAAAACCAAAACATGCATCACAAAATAACTAATTTTTAATGTTTCATTCAATCAAAACTATTGCAGCATTGCCATATAAGAAGTAAATTTATAGCGTTTTTGATCAGTGTACATGGTGTTAACATAATATGTCAATATTGTGGTGCCATATAATTGTAAAAACATAACCAAAGCGACCACCAAGCTGAAGTTATTTTCCGAAATATTGCGAACTGAGAACGTTACAAAAGCAATTCTAATTGTTTTATGTTTGCGAAGTATTGTGGTTGAAATATTTTTTTTTGTTTAATTTTTGATTTTAATTTAATTTGAAAATGCATCTGTAGCCAACTATTTAGGTAACTTATCGACTGACAAGGACCACAATTACTCCTTGTGGAAGGCTGTTAAAAATATTAGGAAACCTAAGTATCAAGTTCCTACTATTAGAAAGGATGATGGTTCCTGGATAGTAAGCGATGCAGAAAAGGCGAACAACTTTGCAGACTATCTCGAGGGTATCTCTTTACCACTCCCAAGACAGACCTCAGAAGAAAGTCTAACTTCGGCGAACAGGATTGACGCTGTACGAGTTCCGAAAATTAAAATAACTGAACTCAAGGCTGAAATCAAGCTCTTCAAAAATTACAAGGCCCCAGGTTACGACTTGATAATAGCTGAAATACTGAAAAACCTGCCAGACATTGCTGTAAAAAAGCTGCTTTTTCTGTTCAATGCGTCGCTGAGGCTTAATCATGTCCCAGCTCAGTGGAAAGTCGCAGAAATCATCATGTTACCCAAGCCTGGAAAATCTGCCAATGAGATGAAGTCGTATAGACCTATTTCACTCCTACCGGTGTTGTCGAAGCTGTTTGAAAGGGTTTTATTGAATCGCCTGAAACCAATAATAGAAAATAGAGGTCTCATCCCCGACCATCAGTTTGGGCTTCGGTCTAGACATTTCACTATCGACCAAGTACATAGGCTAACGAACGTCATTTAAAATGCGCTTGAAAGCAAGGAATACTGCTCAACTGTCTTCTTGAACGTAGCCCAGGCGTATGACATGGTTTGGCACAAGGGCCTCAACTTCAAAATAAGGGAGTTTCTGGCGGAGCCATTTCCAAAAATATTGAAGTCCTACCTCTCTGACAGAATATTCAGGGTAAAATTTGAGGAAGAGTACTCCACCTTTAAAAATTTGAGGGCTGGTGTGCCTCAGGGAAGTGTGGTGGTACCCTTTTTGTACTTACTTTACACCAGAGATATCCCGCAAAGCGAAAAAACTTTCTTAGCAACTTTTGCAGACGATACGACAATATTAGCGACCGGTAAAACTGTTGAAGAAGCTACGAATAAATTGCAAGCCTCATTGAACGAAGTGTCTACTTGGACGAAAAAGTGGAGTTTCAAACTCAACGAAGCTAAATCAGTACACGTAAACTACACCAACAGAAGGAGCGATCCAATAGGTGTCTCACTTAATGTTAAAAAAAAGAAAGAGCATTTTAAAAAAAAGAAAAATGAGCTGAACATCAAATTGAGAAACATGTATTGGCTTCTTGGAAGACATTCTGAGCTTAATACACAGAACAAACTACTACTCTACAATCAGGTTCTTAAGCCTGTTTAGACTTATGGTATACAGCTGTGGAGCTGTACCAAAGAGTCCATTTTGAAAATTATAAAACTTTCCAAAACTAGGTCTTCCGAATCATTGTAAATGCACATCGAGATCTAAACGTGCCGACAGTCAAAGATGAAATAAAGAAGTATGCAATCAATCATCAATCAAAATTACTCCAGCATGATAACCCCGAGATGCTGCAACTTTTAGATGTTGATCAAGTGCATAGACGACTAAAAAGGGTCAGACCGCTTGAACTCATCGGCTAGACAAATATAATGTACAGGGAACTAATCAGTGGATGATGCACCCATAACCCCCAAATTAAGCCAGAAAATTTGCTAGATAGAAATTATTTTCTTAGTTGCAATATCATTTATTAAAAAAAAAAAAATTTTTGACCATTGTTTATGAGCCTCGTTATAAATGACGAATTAAAAATACTAGAGGAGGGATCATCCTTGTTTCATTTCGCCTCTAAAAAATTGTGTGCACCCTCTAAAAAATTGAAAAAAAAACACAGTGAAGCCAAAAATTTCAGGCAAGTCTCTTTCTTTGCTCAAAGCATTATCAAATTGAAATTGGCATTAAAGGCGGAATGTTTTTTTGTTCTTGGAAAAGTACACCGCGCTTTTATAAAAAGTAAACAAAGAAAGTTTAACGAATTTAGTTTTAAAGTTGGTACAGTTTGTAAATGAAAAATTATAAAATATTTAATAATAACTGTTAAAAAAAGAATATTATTCTATAAGAACTTATAAAAATAAAAAAAATATAACGTGAAATAAGAACAAAGTTTTTTGGGAAAAGAAAAAGTGCATAGTTAATTCATAACTCGTAAATTTATTAAATTTTAATTTTGCGAATAAAACATTTGTTTTTGTTTTATATTAAACTGGAATTACATCGGATTATATTTTACCAGGGGCGGATTTTTCTTTAATTGTAACAAAAAATTTTTTATGTGAATTGTTTTGTTAAAATTTCTTCGCAGAGCGAAGATTTGGTCAACAAAAAAATATATGCAGACAGTGCGGTATCGTTTAATGAAAAAAGTAAAACAAAATATTAGTGTAAATTATTCATAAAATATATTGCATTAGATTGAATAAATACGTGAAGCTCAGTTAGTTAATGAGAAAGAATACGCGAAATATACTATCTACTTTAGTCAGTACTAACCAAAATATTAATTAAAATTTGTTAGAAATTGAATTGGTTTTTACAAATATTTCAAATGATATTTTAAAAAAAATCAACCTACAAATTACACATATTTATAGTAGAGGTCAGACAAAAATTTCTCAAACATCAATTTCTTTTGTCGTAATATTTACAGCCTGATCATGTATCTCGCTTTTTTACTTACTTTTTATTCACTTTTAAATCAGAATTCTCAGTGTTTTCTAATGGATGTTTTACTTTTCCAATAAGATTACTCATTTTTTTAATTGGATTTTTGCATTTTTTCTCAAATTATTAAACTGAACGTTGCACCTTCAAAAACAAAGCGAATAATTTTTGCATTTTAGAAAAAACGAGTTGCGTATCTACCAAATAATTCTTCTCACGCGAAAATTACAAAAATAAAAGTTTATTTAAAAAACTAAAGATTATTTAAAAAGAAAAATATTTAGTAATATGTGTTGTACTTTCTAAAGTTTTTACTGTAATCATATATAAATAAAATATAGTAATATATTTGATTACCTTCATCTAAATAGAAATGACCAGAAGGTGTTGCGTCAAAGGATTCAGAAGCAATAGTCTATGAGAAAAGGAGAACGTAAATGCTATACCTACATTTACTTTTACAAAGAAGAAGATCATCAGGAATAAAATTGGAATTTTCAGAAATTTCATTCTTTTAATTAAGATTTTTATTATATAGCCAGCAATATATTCAATTGTATCTTATTTTATTTCCTTTAAGTAAATATTAATGCTATGTAAGTAACATCATCCAAAACATTGTCAATCATTATTATTTTCAGACGCAAATCGTTTATTTAGTGACAAAACGAACGTAATAGTTCCCTAGGTAATTCCTCCATTAAAGTGTCAGTTTCAAAAACGTCATTTTTCCCTCTTACGTTATTACTCGTACTCATTTGTTGACTGTTATGTGATCATTCTGAAATTCGGGGTTACTATAATTACTTCAAAATAATTTAAAACATAAATTAGTTAAAAAAATTGACGTGATTAGTTAAAATAACAAATTGAGGTGAATACCATTAAAACAAACGTTTCTTCTTTTCATGTTGTCCCTCGATGTGGGGAAAAAAGGAACTGTATGAAACTTAGGGCGCGCTTGCAACTGCATGTAAATCTCAAGGCCTTTCGACTTATATGGGAGAGGATTTGAACAAAAAGACTGAAGTGACTGAAGGCACTTCCGTGCCTTCCTTCACAGAATGTACACACTAAAACACTATAAAGCAAAACTGATGATTGGTCAGTTTGACTAGTTTTTTGAGTTTATGACCAGCCACATGCCTTCTAGGTTGGGTCATAGTGGGGGACTATGGACTATGGATCTGACGACTATTTCTGTCCGCCTATCTTCGACGATTTCTAATACCTATACTAAAAAAATAAGTCAAAATTATTATTTTTTTCAAGATTCAAGGTTGATTGTGTTTGTTTGTTTGTTATAAATTTTAGTAGACAATAATGTCAGTGAGTAATATATGTATATCACTATACCATAATATATGACATTAATTTAGCTGGTAATATGAAACCGTACATAAATATTTTTTTATGTTTCTTTTATTATTATGTTCTTGCGGTCTTTCTCATTATTAAAGAAATCAATTGAGTTTCTGATAAGATAATAGAGATTTTCATAAAGGCTAATAAAATATGTTTTAATATTATTCGATTTAGTTTTCTTGTTTTTTTTTTCTTTCATGATTAATGATACAATAATACGTAATGATGCATGTGCATCTTAACACAACTTTTTTTTGAAAATGTATTTTTAGCAAAATGACATTTCTCTAAATATTTCATTTCGAGTTTATATGAAAAAATTTACTAAAATCTAACGATCTTTAAATTAAAATGAAGTTTAAGGTTTTCTGTTCAAAATCCAAAGTTCAAATTTCAATTAGAAATGTTAGCTTTAATTTTGATTGTATTCTTCTTCAAGTTTTTGCTCTCGTAATATATGTAAGAGAAGTATTAAAAAAATGATATTACATACATTGAATAAAAAAAAATGATGGTATAATTTTACGTTTTCGCAATATATGTGAGAAAATTTAACAAAAAATGATATTGCATACTCTGAATAAAAAAAACGAGTATTGTAGATATATGAAAATTGTATGCTAATTTTTTTTAATTTATAAGTATTGTATATCAAGCTATAAAAACATTGAATATAATTTTTTAGCGACCTGACCGGGATTTGAACCCGAAACCCTTCGGTGAAAGCCATAATCACTTCACTGCTGGCATAATCTGCACCAATGATCAATAATTTTTAGTCTTTAATATTTTTTCCTTTGAAATACATACATATATGTACATATGTAAAAAATCAAATTTAAACAGAATTCAATATTAATTTTTTTTTTGAATAAATGTATTTTATAAATTGAAATTAAATACATATACATATTTTTATATTACAATACCTTATGACGTTTGAAAGTGAAAATTTTTTTTTTATATTTTGTACTTGCTTGGTGGTTACTTACAATTTATTTTTGTAGGAATGAACTTTTTGTTGAATATGCAGAAAATGTGACATAAAATTTGCAGAAACTATGCACCTCATAAGCGATGTAAACTTGAATTGTCAAGAAGTACCCTCACTTTTTTGGTAATATATTTTTGAGTTTTCAAAATTTTTGGTATACAAATATTATTAAGCTAAAATACGAATACGCTATAATAATAAATATATAATTAATTTGTTTAATGACTATAAAATATTTAATAAAAAATTAAATTTAAATGTTTTTTATTAAAGAAAAAATGCTGTACATGCAAACCCAATTGCAATTTGGTGAGTGATCTATAAAAATTGGAAAAACATGTTTTGCATATTTTGAATAACAAAAACGTCGATATTTTTTAAAATAAAAGTATACTTACAGCCTGATCGTTTATCTCGTTTTTTAATTCACTTTTTATTCATTTTAAAATCAAATTTCTCTGTTTCACTTTCCCAACAAGATTACTCATTTTTTGATTGGATTTTTCCATTTTTTCTCACTTTCAAAAGCAAAGTGAATAAATTTTGTATGCATTTTAGAAAAAAACGAGATACGCAATAGCAAATAATTCTCACTCGAAAATTATATTATACAAGTATATGATAGATACTAACTGCAGGAGCAAGAAGGAGCATCTTTGTTTTTATCTCGCTTACACTCCCTAAAAAATCGTATTTTGAAAAAAAAACATAGTGGAGTCAAAAATTTCAGATAGTCTCTTTCTTTGCTCCGAGCGCTGTCAAACTGAAATTAACAATAAATGCCAACTGTTGTTTTTTTTTTTTCTTAGAAACCAAGAAGATTTTGTTATATTGTTTATAAAATTAGTGCAGTTTGTAAATAAAAAATTATAAAATATTTAATAATAAGTGTTAAAAAAAGAATGCCATTTTATAAAAACTTATATTTTAAAAAAAATACAAGTGAAGAAAAAAACTTTTGAAAAGCAAAAAGATGTATAGATCTAAATTGTTATTTCCATTTGCAAAAACAAATAGTTTTATTACAACATATACATGTGAATATTATTCATTTCAATAATTAAAAGAAATATTTACTCAATAGTGCTGTGATTAATTCACTAGCTTATAATTTTATTAAGTTTGCTTCGAATGACATAATTTTACCAGGACGGGATTTTTTTACTCAGCAAAATTAGGTTGGGTTTGATAAAATAACGTATAGCATACATACAATATTTTAATTTGGTCTTTTAAGCTTATATTAATGTCTTTATATCTACAGAGAGAAATTTGAAAGCACGACTTTATTTTATATGGGTTTTTTTAAATCGAAGTGGCTATTATTTGAGAAGAAATATTAAAATAAATTCACACTTATTATAAAGCAGGTAAAATTTAGAAAATATATTTGAAAAATCAAGAAAATATATTAATATTTTCATTGATAATTATTTTAAAATTTAAAAAAAAACCGAAAAACAACAAGCACATCCTTCGCCTTCAACGTTTTATATGTTACTGAAAGCATTTCATTATTTTTAAGTGAACAGCTTTTTTTTCTCATAGGGTAAGTTAACTCAAGATATGGGGAGTAACTGTGGTGTCAAGTTGAAAATATAATTAATGAAAGATAATTCTTAAATATTGATATAAATACATAGCAAAGAAAAAATTTGAAGAGGGAATTAGAAAATAATATCTAAAATACAATCAAATATTATTTGTTAAATACAAATTTAATATAAACTTCAAAATTTTACCTCTATTTTTATTTGAAAAAATATTAAAAACTAATCATTTATATCAAATACCTAAGAAAAAAAAATATTTAAAATGTTTGGAAAAAACAATCATATATTTTTATGACCGGATTTGAATATTTTTTTTATTTTTTTATTTTTGAAATAAATGGTATTATACCAAATGACTCAAAAATTCCGACTGTAAAATACCAGGTATTTTGAAATTTTTGTTTTTTTATGTAATATTCTTTCCATTTAGAATTAAGATAGATCATACATACACATGCAGGGACATTTTATAAATAGATTGCTCTTGTTTACCTGCTAATAAAATATGAAAAAAGAGCACAGCAAAATTTTTGAAGCACTCAATATAACATGTTTGAAATAGTTTTAAAATAATTATTTAAAAAAAAATTTATTGGAAGTAGGTACATACATATTTATTTTTAATAACATAAAAACTAACTGAAATTATTTGAAACAATTTTATAAGTAACGTATAAATAACCGAAATGAGATAATTCAAATTGTTGAAAAGTGTCAACCTATATTACTTTTAATAACATTTTTGTTAGCCGACACTACTCAACTTACCTTATTGCGAAATACAAAATGTGCATAAAAAATCATACATCCTTCCTCATTAACATTTGAAACCATACTGAAATATGAATTTGAAATTTTTTTTCATTTTTTCTTTCCTCCTACCTTTCTTTCTTTTTCGTGCAATAAAATTTAAATGGGAAGCTTTTTAAAAAATGTGTATAATATCCTGAGATTTTTTAAAATATTAAACTCTTTTTTACTTAAAGAAAAAGAAAAAAATAATAAAAAATATGACACGATCAGTGACATTTAAAGAAAAAACCAAAGTATATCTACTAACAAATAGTTCGACTCTCCGTTTACATCACACTAATGCAATCACTCACCAATATTTGTATAAAAAAATTCCCTTACTTAAAAGAGTTAAGCAGTATACCTTCTTATTTTCATTTTTATATACATAAGAATTTTTGGGAAAGGGAAAGAGTACGCAATAGATGTCAACCTGTTTTTTTATAATGTAATTTTGAAAGGCGACACTTTATTATTTGTTACTATATAAAGTATAGGGAAAAATATTAAGAATTTTAAAAGCGACACAATAATTTCTGTAATTCATTCCAGTACAAGGTGGCAAAAAATGTGTATTCATATTATAAAAGTGAAGAAGAAAAAAAAGTGTTTAAAAAAATTATTATAATTTATATAATATAATTTTTAAAAAAAAATTTAAATAGTTGTGAAAAAAATATTTTTTTTATAAAAATGGGTAAACATTATTTGAAGTGTTTGGGATGAAAAAAAGCCGACACGAAAATAAATTCATACATGAAATTTTAAACTCTTTTGCTTTCATACATTCGAATTTTTTACCTAAGTTTTATAAAATGAAAAATAAATTGTGTTATTATCAAAATAAAAATAACAAAATTTTTACCTAACTTAATTTAATTTTATTTTAGTTCAATGTTTTTGATATACTCGTTTGTTTACAATATTTTGTTTCTTTCTTGTCTACACAACTCTTATTACCATCTATTTCTACAAAAAAATGGAATATTTTAGGAATTTGGAAGCAAGATGCAAACAAAAACTAACGGAATGGAACGAGTCGAATTACTTATTAGTAGATATACTTTGGAAAAAACCAGCAACGAAGCCAAAAATTCGTAATATTTCATAAAAAAAATTTAGTATTGGGACTTGTTAGATATAAAGACATTAATACAGTGAATAAAAAAAATTTGGTGCTATATTTTTTAGTCAAAATAAAAATTAAATTAAAGTTAATAAAAATTTTATGCTTTTGAAATTTTATAATCATTAAAAAAATTCGTCGTTTAAAAAAAATATAATAAAGATATTATAAAGAAATTTGTAAAGTTTTAAAGTTACTGCTGCGATAGTTTAGGTAAATCAGCGAATTAGCCTTCATAATAAAACTGAAATCACATACATACATACCTAAAAAGCATTGTATGAACTTTTAATATAAAAAGAGTTCATATATGCAATATTTTTTATGAATTCAGCATATAAATAAGTTTAATTAATATACTATGTACATGAAAATTATGTAGATATGTATATGATTATATACGAAGTATGCATTTTGGGAGACATATACAAAATTACCAAACTTGTTAATTTCAAATGTATATTTTCTCTAATTTGAAAAAATACACCAAAATCAACTAAATATTTCGAAAAAAAAGTGGAAGTTTTTTTTTTCTTGTGATTGTTTTTTTCTTGCATTGATATCTTAAAAAAATAAACAGAAACTGGAAGGTTTTTTTTTAATCAATTTTTTAATGTTTTAATAACACAAAACTTTAAAAATGTAAGCACTAGTAAAGTAGGAAAAAATTTAGTTTTAACTTTTTCTATTTAAAAATTTGAAAATAGTTGATCTTGTTGGAAATGTATGATGTTAAAAAGCGCTCTCTATAGATCCCATAAGAATACGTGTAAATTCGTCAGCTGTGAACTGTCACTTTCTCTTTGGGTTCAGGCCTGTATTTCTGTCGGCCGTGGTTTAAAGAGTTTCCAATTTTTGTGAAGTAAAATTTAGTGTTTAAAATTTTTACCTGTCAAAACATACAAAATCTGATGTCAAACCAGTATATAGACTTTTGTCAGACTCAGGTTAAATAAGTTAAATCGTAGTTTTGTTGCATATGCAAACAGTAACTGATATATTTACTTAATTGGAGGCAAAACAATTTGCAAATTTTGTTACGAATCAAATCAATAAATATTTAATTTTGGTGGTATAATTTTGTTAGACGAAGTTATTCTAGGATAAATGGCTTCTGATTCAGTAAGATATCCATAATTTTTACATTAGCCACCTAAACAGTTTTGTGGTAGTAGAATCTATAAGTTTTACTAAAGAAAAGATATGTATGTATTTCTTTCTGATGTGTTTTTGATTTGAAGTATGTATGTTTTTCATTAAACTTTGTATTGAAAAACCTTAAGTCACACAAATACGCTTCAGAAAATTGTTAAATACGAAAATGTACATATAGTTTTAAAGCAATACAATATATTGCAATAATAAGTTTGTTTGAGAACCACAAAAACCTTTGATGTCATATTTAAAAAACAAATTGCATGTACATACATATATAAATACTTAATTACATATGCATATCAGATTGTGTTTTACAATTATGCTTTTTAGGATATTTGGGATGACACATTATTAATAAAGGCTTATGATAATTCTGCCAAACTTGCTAAATCGGAAATAGCCAAGAGAATAGCATCTGCCACAAACTCAAGCGATAGAAACTCTAAACAAAACCAACCAAATCAATCTGCGGAATGTGTTAGCTATAACATTGGCGATTATGTACGAGCTACTTATGAAGATGAAATGGATTATGAAGCTAAAATTATTGCTATTGATAGAGAAACAAAAAAATGCACCATTAGATATATAGGATATGATAATGAACAAGATGTGAGCATATGTGATTTAGTGCCCTCTTGGGGGAAAAAAGCTCGGAAAATCCAATTTGCCAAAGCTAAAAACGACAAAGGTCACAGGAAAAAGGAAAGAATAAACGTTTCTTTGCCAAATTACAACCTACCACCTCCACCTCCAATACCCCCAATGCTTAATGAACTTAATGAAGATTCTGAAAACATTTCAGCCATGTTAATGTCTTGGTATATGAGTGGTTATTACACAGGATTATATCAAGGTCAAAAAATGGTGAAATCAAAACTAAAACATAAGAAACCACATGAAATTGTGTAAAATCGTCGTCGAATTATTTTCTTCATATTTATGCAAAGTCAACTTAAAATTATCAATGTAAACTCAATTACATACTTAAGCAAATAAATATAAAACACTCATTGATATAAAATTTTTACATCTAATTTTTTTTCACTGGATGCTCTTGATCCTTATGCAAAAAGTTTGAAAAATTTGTTCTGTTAATATCCCTCCTTTCATTTAAGTATTCATTCAAATGTTCTCTTTTTTTATGCGTGTGGTATGCAGAGTCGTAAATGAAGGACTTTGTGCAATATTTACATTTATACAGAGATTCTCCAGTGTGAGACGCCATATGTTGCTATAAATAAAAAGATGTAATAAATAAAAGGATGTATTTAGTGTTTTACCCTTAAAGCCAATGGTCTTTTAAAACCTTTTTTGCATACTGAACATTTGTGACACTTTGGTGTTTGGTGATTTTTAACATGAATCTTTAAGGCCCCTTTATTTGGAGAAATTTTACTACATATATTACACTTATGCACTTCTAACGCTTCCTGATGATTTTTCATGTGAGTTTTTAGACCACTTGAACTTTTTAGCCAAGCCCCACAAATTTCACATTGGACTTTAGCTAATAAAAACTCGTGAGTTCTCTGATGCTCTCGAAACTTTCTACTTGAGAACGACTTACCACAAACTTGGCATATTTTACTTTTTTCATGAATATCTGAAACATGATTTTTCATAAAATACTCTGTTGGATACCTGAAACAAAAAACAAATTGTACATAATAAAATTTTTAAGCTTTTCAATAAATTTACAATTTTTCGCAGTATGTGCATTTTACTTTCCATTTATCTTTCGACCAGTGAATTGGCAAATGCCGCTGAAGAAGACTTTTGCTTCCAAATTTACGAGGGCAATTATCACACAAGTACTCAACTTCTTTTAAATGTTTTTCCATGTGTTTTGTATAATTTTTGACTGTCGACAGTATTTTATCGCATTTCATACATCTGTATTTGAAATATAAAATTTTGAAGGCAATACATATATATATGTATATATGCACATATTACATATTAGTAATTTGTAAACTGAAAGTCAGATATGTACACATGCACATACATGATTTGAAAATTACCACGAAGCGAATGTCTAATAAAAAATAAGCTAAAAATCTTTCAATAGATGTTGATAGGTAGGCAAATTCCCACATTGCCTAAACCAAGAATTATTCTAGGTAAACTTACTTATAGTTTTCTGGATTCATATGAGCACCAATATGACCAATCAAAAATTGATTTTGTGTGAATTTTTTGTTACAGCAAATGACATATCCCGGAACCTTGTGGGATGTTTTAAAATGAAGTTTCAACTCAGAAAAATTAGGTAGTACTGCAGTACACAAATCACAAGAAAATGTGAGAAAGTCAGAAACTTTTTTGTTGAATTCATCACTAGTCACTTTCCTTCCTTTTGGAATTTCCTTATCAGCATCTTGGTGTTTCACTGCCTTTTTCTTCGGCGTTGCACAGAGGTCTTCCAATTCACTTTGAGCTGATTCTAAAACTAGACTATACTTTTAGTTATACAAATATCAGGTTAATATGATGAGCATGTTATGTAAACATATGTACATATGTACCGAACTATACAACATACTTATATATGCTTAGATCCCCACAAGACATATTTGATGTTTTATTGCTCTCTGGATTTACATTAATGCCGACATTTTCATGTGTTTTTTGTTCATTGTTTGTGGTAAGGTTGTTATCTTCCTGAAGTAATTCTTTTTTTACGTTCAAATTTTGTTGAAATGTCTTCTGAGCTGCTTCAACTTTTTTGTAGAATTCATGAAAATTTTTAAGTTTTTCCCAACAATCAAAACACAAATTACAAATCTCGTCATTAATTTGAGGCTAAAATTAAATTGTGTATTAAATCAAAGCGTAATATCATTAATTGAAATTGGACTGTACCTCGAAACAAAAATGTTTAGATATAATTAATGGTGCAAAAAAATGCAAATACGACGAACTGAACATGTTAAAACTGTGTTCTTTCGGTAAAAGGCACAATCGACACAGCATATTTTTAACCAAATAATTATAAGAATAAAAAAGACAAAAATAAATATTCAAATAAAATATAATTTTCTCAAAACCATCCACTTATATTTTAACAAATTTAGCTAAGACAAATGTATGATTGCAAAGACTATTTGCGTCCGCTTCGTCTTATACATATGTTTTTCATAGAAAAAAAAGTGAAGCTAAAATATAGTCTGTGACAAATACAAATGTAGTTTTTCGTGTTTCCATCTCTGAAAAATATTACAATAATAACGGAAAAAAAATTCGATTCCGCATATTTATTTTAATTATATACATATATATATGTGATGTATGTATTATTTCAAAAAAATAAGTGTATAAATTAAAATTTTTTTTACTTCATTCCTAAGAGGAGCATAGGGCTATGTATGACATCATAGAGTTTTAACTAGGTATTGTGACCGGCCTGCAGTAGTTTTTTTTATATTAAATATTTAAGTTTATTAATATTCATTGTTTATTTTTCTTAGTTTTTAATATCGAATTGCTTCCACGAGACTATCTACCTTGTCGTGGTGTAGAAGCCGAGTAGAGTCAAGAATTCTCGGAACATGTCCTCAGATGAGATCTGAAACCAAGAGCCTCGTAAGACGGAATTGGTCATTTTCAGCAGGAAATACAAAACACCGAGTGTGGTTCCGCCAAAACTAAATAGAACTGGACCCATTTTCCCCCCTGAGACTAGATTCTTAGGATTGGTCTTAGACTTTAAAGTAAACTGGGGGCCCACTATCAGGCAGGGAGTGAGGAAGGCAACTACCGCCCTTTACTCGTGCAAGATAGCCATTGGGAAGAGGTAGGGCATTGAACCACGCATGGTTCACTGGCTGTGCACCGCAGTGGTGGTCTGCGTTGCGTTCAACTTCTACAAAGGCCCTCAAAGTACTTCTTCATTTTCTTCCGGCTGCGCCTAAGGACGACATCACATTGGGTCGGTGGCCCAGTGGGGCACGCTGCCATACTGGAAAATAACGGGGATGTGGCGTAGAAGGTTAACTATGTCTCTCCTGTGCTTTCATTCGCGAGAAACTTGAAGCTTTCATTCGCGACTCTTGGGGTCCTATCTGAAAAGGAGGACATAACGCTGTGATAGGAGTTATAACCGGGCAATATCTGATTGGCGAACACGCCAGAATAGATGGAACGCCCCGCTAGCGATCTCTGCAGAGGCTGCTGTGACGAGGAGGAGGAGGAAACGGTGGCTCATTTTCTGTGCTTTGTATTTGGCACGAGGAAGGCGGAGGTTCCTTGAGTCGTATTTCTTCTTGCGAGTTACGAACCCGGCGAATGTAAACGCCAGGAGCCTAAACTGGTTTATAAAGGTCTCGGGCTGGTTCACATGAAAGTGGGGATATGGAGATCCTGCGGCATCACAACGGGCCCCAGTGGCCTAACTGTATCCTCGGACGGCCGCGTCACGTAACCTAACGTAATATCGAATATTATGTGTACATATATGAAAATTACTTGTATGCTAATTTTTTATTTTATTTTTTTAGGTATTGTGTATATTAAGTTATTGAATCTCGTATATGTATACTGAATATAATTTTTATAGTGATCTAACACCGTGGTTTGAAACTAAGACCCTTCGGTTAAAGGACCGGTACCATAACCAGTAAAATGGGTAAATCAGTTTTTCGCTATCTCATTTACTTTCATAGATACGTAGATGTCTTTTTGATCCCTCTCCACTTATAATTCGATTTAGGACGCGTTTTGATTCATATCCAAAATCGTTGTCGTATCGATCAAATTTTTATATAAAATTTAAAAAAAATTTTATGGCTATAATACACGTACCTATTCATGGAACGTAGGTCACAGAAAAAAAAATTTATTTCTGTATTATTCTGGTATAGATCCATTAAAATAATATTTACATACAAACAAATTAAAAAAAATAAAAGTAATGATAAATTAAAAAAAATCAAATATTTCTAACAGATAAATTTCTAACAGATTAAAATCCCTTTGATGTGTTTCAGAGAATTTTCCGAACTTTAACGCCTTGCGAGTTGTAAATTATTGGTTATAAATGTCTAATTTTTTCTGTTAAAAAAGAGGTAACTTATTCTTCTCGCAAAATGACTCCAAGCTATTATAAAAATAAAATAAACTAACAACAATATAAAAAAACAGATAAGTACATCTAACTTTACTTAAAAAATTATTTCAAAATCTTACGCACATGCATAAATTAGGTAGTTTTATATAATCGCCTAACTTTTAACCGGTGCATATTACCATACTATAAACCTGTGAATTCTCAAAATAATTTCGAAATTCATTTACTTTTAATAAATGAGGTAGTTAATAAACACTAGTGAAAATTTGTTGGTATGTAGATATTTACACAAAAATATCATAATATAATTTACGACAACTTCGACAAAACTAAATAACAACTTAATTAGGTAAATCTATTAGTGGATATCTACGAGTATAACAGCCTTATCGTGTATCTCGCTTTTTTACTTGCTTTTTATTCACTTTCAAATCAGAATTATAAGTATTTTTAATGGATGTTTTACTTTTCCAATAAAATTACTCACTTTTTTATTCATTAATTATCAATGTTTCACTTTCAAAAACAAAGTGAAAAACTTTTGTGAAAAAAAAAATGGGATACGCAATCCGAATAATTCTTCTCACTTTCCGAGTAAAATAGTGAGATAAGAGATGAGGCCCTAAATATTCTTAAGCAATAAATTAATATATGTATATTAGAAATTCCATAAAAGTTTTGGGAACCAGAACATTCCAATATTCAAGAAATAGATAATGTTAACTTCTATTGACAAAAATTTGAAAAATGTTAAAATATGTATATAGCCTCCTATATTTTAATCAGATATTGTTAAATATGTATGTCGACAGACAAAATCAAACTTATTATAATAAAAATTTAACCTGATGCTTTTGAAACATATCATGTTCCAGCCACCAAATTAAACTATAATAGTGTACCATACAAAAAAAATCAAAGCGATATTTTATAAAAACGATATGAACGATATTAATTTTAAAATATGTAATTTATATAAACTTGCGAAAAAAAAAACTCAGCGGCACCAAAAAATTTAAATTTTTCCAAAGAATCAAGGAGTCGTTTCTATAGCAACGGAATCCTTTCTAAAGAACAATTTCTAAAGAAAAATAAAAGGATCTAAAAATCTTGTTTCATTTTTACCATCAAAAACCAAAATTATATGCGAACTATTTTAAAGATCAACTTATGAGTTCCTAATTGTGAATTAATAAATACAATTTCTTTTTAATTTAATTTAAATATTTGTTAACCAGAATCACATATACTCTGTTAAAAAAATTAAAAATACATAAGACTGTCATTATAGTGGAATCAATTTATCTGACAATATTTTATAAGATTATTTAGACGTAGGTATGTAATAAATTTCAAAAAATTTTTTGATAAAACTTATACTCGTAATATAGCCTTTTTTATAACTAATTAAATAAAATGTTTTCATAACAACATTTTAAAAAAAGCGTGTTGCAAATTTTATTTTTCTTAATAGGCATATACATAGCTGTAAATTTGTTTGACATACATATGTATGTATGTAGGTATATAAGAATGATATTTTTTTTATTAGTGCTTACTTGATCTATATGCACTAATTTTTCGATCCACGTTACATAAAATGAACATTTAAGTCCAAAAAAGTGGATATGGATCAAAATTGTACTATACCTTTTTTACTTAACTTACTACAACATCCGATCTGTTTGTTGAAATTCAATAAAACTTTATAGTCAAGCCCTTAAAACTATAACAAACCTAGTAACAGAAATTTAGAAAATCCGCTAACGCAGTTTTGAAATAAATTGTTTCTAAACTTCAAACGTAATTTTCTCGATGCAAAAGTTGTATCGTATTCATCAAAATAGCACTCAGCCGACGATATGTATACCAGGTTTTACGTTTTATATGCTTACAAATTTTGGTAGTTCTGAGACTGTTGTAGCCAGAGTTATTATCAAATACACACATCACCCAACTTGAAATGGTAATTATTTGCAATTCCAATAATTGCCTTAATCGAGGTAAGAATAGACAACATTTTGACAAACCTCTTATTTCGAGATAGGTTCTTATTGCAAATCAAAATTAGTAATAAATTTTTTAATATGTATGAATTTTTATAACCAATTACATACATATGTCGAATTAACACTTTATTGCAAATGCAATTTTGAGTTTATTCAAATACTAACTTGGGACAATTCGTAATTCAAACTTATATTAGGCGATTGTTGCAAATACAATTTAAAGATTTAAGGCAGTTTCCTATGTTGAGTTAGGTTTTTGTAACGCGTGCAAATAAAAACAAAACATCAAAATTAAGCTTTGTGTTTGAATTAGTATAATAAAGTATATAATCAGAATAGGAACAGTATTTTTAATTTTTTATTATAAAACATATTTTCAATTATTTGTGTAACACCGTCCGTAAAACCAATTTTGATTTTATTTTTTATATGGAGACGATTTTTTGGTTTTGCATAAACTTAAATATTAAATAAAAAAGCAAATACAAAAACATTTTTTTAATTTTATTCTTTTTATTTACTTTTATTAGGGTTTGTATTCGTTTGTTTCATCTTCTGTTAAATTGAGTTTTGACGCTTCAATGTTGGTGTGGGCTGCTAATTTTTTACAGCGAATCGTTTTACTTCTTCTTGTATTGTTGTTGTTTTAAGGTCTCTATGTAAATCAGCATTTCTAAAGTACCATGACGCTCTAACGATATTTGTAAATACTCTTTTTTGAAATCTCTAAATGACATCTATAACATTTACTAGCGCAATCCCACAGTGGTTTTTCATAAGGCCATATCTGGTTACATATTAAAAGTTTACTATTTATTAGAATAATAACCAATCAGCCATTGTAATTTTGCACATTTAATTTTTAGTTCTATAAATTTTTTTATACCAAGATACTTGACTTTTCATCACTAGGTGTGATTTTTATTGTTGTGTGCGTTAATTAATCAAACATTTAATAAATTCAATAAATATTCTTTAAATCTAGTTGCTATATTTCTTTTTCTATGTCCTAGATATTTAGCGCTACAATCTTCACAAATAATTTCATATGTATTCCTGATTTTTTATTATTGTCAATTTTTTCTTTTATACAACCTAATATGTTTTTTAATTTA